TTGTATTAAGTTTTTCTGCATTTTTATTGAATAATTAGGTTACACTGCAGCTAAAAAATTGGCGCCTATATAAAAAAGATGTTGGCTTTAGGTGAAATCCACTGTATAACCTGCTATAAAATATTAATTCTAAAATATAAAATTATAAAAACCAATTAAATAGTAATAATAACCTAACTTGAAATATAGATTTTTGAATAATAGTAACAGATTGGTCTAAGATACAAGTTTAACCAAGAAGTATCTATTTGAAACAAGACTAAACACACCAAATTAAAAGCAGAAAACACACATCCATACATATCAAATTGGAAGTTGAAAACAGGTTATTGCAAATAAAATAAAAAACATATAAATATCTGTAAATATCAAATAGCAGTTAGTGAAGATACACAAAAACCCGGTCAGCTATATAATAGGGTATGGAAGACTTTGGAGGTTTGAGCCAGAAATAAGGGTCTAGATAGATCTATGTTCTAGTCCTGTAATACGAGTAATTAACATGGATGTACCGAAAGTTGCAATAAAAGATTATTGGGGCAGGAGCTCCACCTTAACATTAAAAAAATATTTTCCCGTGCCAGAGGCACAGGTTTTAGATAAAATGTGATAACGATTCACACAAACATGATAATGCTTACAAATTAAGTTACTAAAATACATTTAAACGTTATACAGTACCATTTTGGTTGTTTCAAGCTTTTATGATCTTGTTTTAGCAGTGTCTCAGCTTTTACCCACATCAATATTGAAATAAGATTATATATCAATCTGCTAAACACTTATTTAGTCGTTGACAAGTTATCTTAAATAAAATTGCTTTTATTGACCCATTAATCATATTCTTTATAACGTACGAATGCAAATAGTAAGTTTACATAATAGGATTATAAAATCAACGGGATTAAAGCCTTACCGTTACATAATGACATGATTAGGCCGTTTGAAATTAAATCTTCGTTTTAAAGAAGTGTGGAAAAAAATTAAATAACCATAAAAAAATTAATATATATTGTATTGAACGATCACAATCGTACGTACAGTAGTTACCAAAAGTAACGCCCGATTTATTAGGTAAAAATAAAATTTTTATTTATTTTATTTTTGCATTACAAAACATTAAAT